CAGATCCTGCTGGGATTTGAGATTCCCCAAATTCGGGGAGTTTGGGAATTTTGGGAGCCGGAATTTGGGGGGAAAACCGAAAAAATGGGAAAAATGGGAAAAAATGAGGAAATTGGCAAAAAAACCCCCAAATTTCTCAGCAAATCAGAGCTAGTGACTCCAGGTCATCCTGAGATTTGAGATTCCCAAATTTTGGGGAAGTTTGGGAGTTCTGGGATCCCGAAATTTGGGAAAAAACCCCAAAAAATGGGGAAAAATGGGTAAAAAGTGAGGAAATCGGCAAAAAAACCCGAAATTCCCAAGAGAATTGGGGTTAAAATGACCCCAGATCCTGCTGGGATTTGAGATTCCCAAATTTTGGGGAAGTTTGGGAATTTTGGGATCCCAAAATTTGGAAAAAACCCCAAAAAAGGGGGGAAAAAGTGGAGGAAATAGGCAACAAATTCTCTACAATTCCCCCAAAATTCTCTTAAAATGCCCCAAATTCCCCCTCAAAATCCCCTCAAAATTTCTTAAAATTGCCAAAAATAAAAAAATCCCCCAAAAAATCCCCCAAAATCCCTTCAAAATTCCCAAAAAATCCCCTAAAACTCCCCCCAAGCCCCTCCCTTTCTTTTCTCTCCCATTTTTTTGGGGATTTTCCCAATTTTTGGGGGGATTTTCCCAATTTTTTTGGGGAGATTTTCCCAATTATTTTGGGATTTTCCCAAATTTTGGTTTTTCCAGGTTTCCCACGCCTCCACCCGGACCCAATTTGGGGCCAAAATCCACGAATTTGGGGCCATCCAGGAGAAGCTGGGCAGGATGGCGCTGCTGCATTACGTCACCGAGGTAATTTTGGGAATTTGGGGAATTTTGGGGAGTTTGGGAAGGATCCGGAAAAATTTGGGAAGATTTTGGGGGGATTTGGGGAGGTTTTGGGGGAGAATTGCCTGAATTTGGGGATTTTTTTGGGAAAATTCTGGAGATTTTGGGAGGGATCCTGAAAAATTTGGGGGAATTTTGGAAATTCCCAAATTTTGGGGGAATTTGGGAAGATTTTGGGGGGAAATTCCCAAAATTTGGGGAATTTTTTGGGGGGTGATTGGGAGAAATTCTGGAGATTTTGGGAATTTTGGGGATTTTGGGAAGGATCTGGAAAAATTTGGGGGAATTTGGGGAGATTTTGGGAGGATTCTGAAAAATTTGGGGAGATTTCGGGGAATTTGGGGAGGTTTTTGGGGGGATTTTGGAGGGAATTTGGGGAAATTCCCCGAATTTTGGGAATGATTGGATTATTTTAGGAATTTTTGGGGAGGTTTTTGGGGGGTTTTGAGGGGGATTTGGGGAATTTTGGAAGATTTTGGGGAGGTTTTATGGGGGAATTGGGGGAAATTTTAGGAATTTTGGGGGAAATTCCCAAAATTTTGGGATGATTTTAGGGAATGTGGGGAGGTTTTTGGGAGGATTTTGTGGAATTTTGGGAAGGATCCTGAAAAATTGGGGGATTTTGGGAAGATTTTGGGGAGGATTTTAGGGGGAATTGAGGGAAAATTTAGGAATTTTGGGAGGGATTTGCAGGGAATTTAGGAGGGAATTTGGGGAAATTCCCAAAATTTTTTGGGAATGTCCCAAATTCCCGTTTTTTTCCCCCAAAATCCTGCAGGATCTGGGAATGAAAACAATTCTGGGTGGAATTTGGGTCAATTTTGGGTCAATTTTGCTCCAAATTTCATCAATTTTTGATGGAAAACCCCCAGAATTTTAACAGGAACTTCCCAAATTTTTTGGGAACATCCCAAAATCTTTTGGGGATGTCCCAAATTCCCGTTTTTTCCCCCAAAATCCATCAGGATTTGGGGATGGAGACAATTCTGGGCTGAATTTGGGTCAATTTCCATCAAAATTCCGTCAATTTTTGATGGAAAATTCTTGGAATTTTAACAGGAACTTCCCAAATTTTTTGGGAACATCCCAAATTCTTTGGGAACATCCCAAATTCCCATTTTTTTTCCAGCAGGATCTGGAGATGGAGACAATTCTGGGCTGAATTTTGGGTCAATTTTGCTCCAAATTTCATCAATTTTTGATGGAAAACGCCAGAATTTTTTCATGAACTTCCCAAATTTTTTGGGAACATCCCAAAATCTTTTGGGAATGTCCCAAATTCCCGTTTTTTTCCCCCAAATCCAGTCCATGGCCTTCATGATCAGCGCCAACATGGACAGAGGCGACCCCGACTTCCAGATCGAGGCGGCCATCAGCAAAATCTTCGGCTCCGTGAGGAAATTCGGGATTTCCCCAAATTTTGGGGGGGTTTCGGGGGGTTTGGGAGGAAATTTGGGATTTTCCCCGATTTTGGGAAGTTTTTGGGGCAGTTTGGGAGGGATTTTGGGAGGAAATTCGGGATTTTCCCAACTTTCGGGGGATTTTTCGGGGATTTTTGGGGGAGTTTGGGAGGAATTTTGGGGGGATTTTTGGGGAAGGAATTTGGGATTTTCCCAAATTTTAGGGAATTTTTTGGGGTGTGTGAGGAAATTTGGGATTTTCCCCATTTTTGGGGGAGTTTGGGAGGGATTTTGGGGGAATTTTTAGGAGGAAATTTGGGATTTTTCCCAATTTTTGAGGGATTTTTCAGGGATTTTTGGGGGAGTTTGGGAGGAAATTTGGGATTTTCCCCAATTTTGGGAAATTTTTGGGGCAGTTTGGGAGGGATTTTGGGGGAATTTTTTGGGGGGGATGTGGTATTTTCCCAAATTTTGAGGATTTTTTGGGGGATTTGTGGGGAAATTTGGGATTTTCCCCAATTTTGGGGATTTTTTCTGGGATTTGGGGCAGTTTGGGAGGGATTTTGGGGAGGAAATTGGGGATTTTCCCCAATTTTGGGCATTTTTGGGGGAGTTTGGGATGGATTTTGATGGAATTTTGGGAGGGAATTTGGGATTTTCCCGAATTTTGGGCATTTTTGGGGGAGTTTGGGATGGATTTTGATGGAATTTTGGGAGGGAATTTGGGATTTTCCCAAATCTTGGGGATTTTTTTGGGGAATTTGTGAGAAAATTTGGGATTTTCCCCAGTTTTGGGAAATTTTTGGGGGATTTGGGGGAGTTTGGGAGGGATTTTGGGGAAGAAATTTGGGATTTTCCCCAATTTTTGGGATTTTTTCTTGGATTTTTTCTGGGATTTGGGGGGAATTTTGGGATTTTCCTGAATTTTGGGGATTTTATGGGATTTTGGGGGAATTTTTGGGAGGAATTTTGGGATTTTCCTGAATTTTGGGGGATCCTGGAGGGCTCTGAGAGAGAATTCTGGGAGAATTTGGGGATTTTTTGGGAATTCTGAGTGGATTTTTAGCAGAAAATTCCCAAATATTTTTTTGAGAAAACAACAAATCCCGGGGGAAATTTGGGAGGAATTTTAGGAATTTTTGTCCCTGGGAATTCTGGGTGGATTTTGGGGGAATTTTGGCTTTTTCCAGGCTGGTTTTTAACCCGAATTTTTCCTTTTTTTCCCAAATTTTTGGGATTTTCTCCCAAATTTCCAGGAGGCCGCCTGGGCCGTGGCTGACGAGTGCATCCAGGTCATGGGGGGGATGGGCTTCATGCAGGTGAGATTTGGGGCCAAAACCCCGAATTTTGGGGATTTTTGGGAATTTGGGGGGTCCTGGGATCCCAGAGTTGTGAATTTGGGGAAAAATTCCCGGAATTTTGGGGTTTTTATCCTGATTTTTTGGGTTTTTTCACAATTTTTTTGCTTTTTTTTCTGATTTTCTGGGATTTTTCCCCATTTTTGGGGCCAAACCCCAAATTTTGGGGTTTTTTGGGATTTTTGGGAGGTCCTGGAATTTGGGGGTTGAGAATTGTTGGAATTCGGGGAAAAATTCCCAGAATTTTTGGGTTTTTTTTTTCCTGATATTTGGGATTTTTTTCGGATTTTTTTGGAATTTTTTTGGGATTTCTTGGGATTTTTTTGGGATCATTTTGGGATTTTTTGGATCATTTTGGGATTTTTTTGGGATCATTTTGGGATTTTTTGGGATTTTTTGGGATCATTTTGGGACTTTTTTGGATTTTTTTTTAATCATTTTGGGATCTTTTGGGATCATTTTGGGATTTTTTGGGATTTTTTGGGATCATTTTGGGACTTTTTTGGATTTTTTTTTAATCATTTTGGGATCTTTTGGGATCATTTTGGGATTTTTTGGGATTTTTTGGGATCATTTTGGGACTTTTTTGGATTTTTTTTTAATCATTTTGGGATCTTTTGGGATCATTTTGGGATTTTTTGGGATCTTTTTGGGACTTTTTGGGATTTTTTTTTGATCATTTTGGGATCTTTTGGGATCATTTTGGGGTTTTTTTGGATCATTTTGGGATTTTTTGGATCATTTTGGGACTTTTTGGGATTTTTTTTTATCATTTTGGGATTTTTTGGATCATTTTGGGACTTTTTGGGATTTTTTTTTATCATTTTGGGATTTTTTGGATCATTTTGGGACTTTTTGGGATTTTTTTTTATCATTTTGGGATTTTTTGGATCATTTTGGGACTTTTTGGGATTTTTTGGATCATTTTGGGACTTTTTGGGATTTCTTTGAATCATTTTGGGCTGTTTTGGGTAATTTTGGGCTGTTTTGGGCTGTGCCCAGGAGCCGGGCGTGGAGCGGGTGCTGAGGGATTTGAGGATTTTCCGAATTTTCGAGGGAACCAACGACATCCTGAGGCTCTTCGTGGCCCTGCAGGGCTGCCAGGTGCTGGGCCAGACTGGGTTAGACTGGGTTGGACTGG